TTTGAAATAACAAAATTTAAATAGTCTTTTATTTTGAATGTCCTTATCTTCCTTAACCCTTGTGTCCACACCCAACTTTTTCTACGTTGTTTCGCACCCAGGGTACCCGGGTACCCACTGCAGCAAAAACTCCATAAAAACTAATCTGACTCTCAGATCTGACTGAAAATGCTTACTCGGGGGTTTTCAGGGTCGCTGATTACGAATCCGACGTCAGATTTTCAAAATTCGAAATATTAAAATTGTTATAAACAAATATATAAATAAATTGTCAATTGAAGGAATAACTTTGATAAATTTTAATGAAACTAATCACTCGGGGGTTTTTATACTCGCTGATGACAAATCCGACGTCTTTTCTTCAAAATAAGTCCTTTATTAATTTGTTATAAACAAATTATATAAACAAATTGTTAATTTAGGCAAAGACTTTGATGAATTTTAATGAAACTTCTCACTCGGGGATTTTGGGGTCGCCAATTACGAATCTGAAGTCAGATTTTCAAAATTCAAAATGGCTGATCCAATATGGCTAACGAATTTTTAAAAAATTGTCAGATTCGCTTCAATGTTGTTACTCATGGATTTTCGGTGTTTCTGATTAGGAAACTTAAATCAGATTTTTGTTTAGCTCATTTGTATGTTTGAAATAAGCTTGCAGTAAGAATTATATGTTTACGGCACCGTAATTGACTGTAAGTTTACTGGAGGCTTATTCTTAGTTTCGCCGTAAACAATCGTGTAGTTGAATATTATGGAGAAGGTGTCGCGAGATGAATTCAGAAAAAACAATCTGACTTCAGATTAGAAATTAGCGACCCTGAAAATCCCTGAGTAACAAAATTGAAACGAAGCTCATCGATTTTTAAAATATTCGTCTACTATATTGGATCCGACATTTTCAATTTGAAAACTATGACTAGATGCGTAATCAGCGACACCAAAACCCTCCGAGTAACCAGTTTTAAGGAAAATTGCGTTCGATATTTGAAATGCACGCCATATTGAATTCGCTATTTTGAATTTTGAAAAACTGACATCGGATTCATAATCAGCGACCCCAAATACCCCTGAGTGAGAAGTTTCATTAAAATCCTTCAAAGTCTTTGTCTCATTTAACAATTTGTTTATATAATTTGTTTATAACAAATTAATAATGCACCTATTTTGAAAAACTGACGTCGGATTCGTAATCAGCGACCCCAAAAACCCCCGAGTAATAAATTTCATTAAAATCCAAACGATTTTTAAAAATTCGTACGGAAAATTTATTTGTTTATAACAATGTAAATAATTATGCTAAATGAAAATTTAAAATCAAGAACAATCAGTTTTTTAGAAATTTGGTAAGGGTTAGTTTCCAAAAAGAAATTTTAAAATCGGTTAGGAATTGTTGGCTCTATGTAATTTTGAACGTTACTTTTCAATTTCAATCCACTGTGTTTTTTTTATAATTATTTATTTTATTTATTTATAAAAGAGAAAAATATTCTTAAATATGTCATTTGCTTTTACTTATGTTAAATAACGACGATTCGGAGCGTCGAAGCGATATTTTTATTTTTACTCGAGTTATATGCAAAAATGTATCGTCGTGGGTACCCGGGTGTGAACACAAGGGTTAAAGTAAATCAATTTAAATATTTTTTAAATGTGTTTATAAAGGTAAATTTAAAAAAAATCAACAATTTTTTTCAAACATTATTATAAAATTTTTTATTAGAAAAATTCATTTTTCTCTATTGACGTATTGACAGGATTTTTTCAAAATTTGTTGTAAAAAACTGTTTCAAATTTTAACAAATTTTAAGCCTAGTACGATCGTAGGCAAACAGTTTTTTCAATATTTTAGGAAGTTAACATTTTTAAAAAATATCTTTGGTTTTATTTATAATTCATACATTAATGTATTTTTGTATATATATATATATATATATATATATATATATATATATATATATATATATATATATATATATATATATATATATATATATATATTAAGGTGGTCGTTAATATGGTCATTTTGGAATCGAATTTATTCCACCCCCTAGTTTGGAAGGAAAAAAAATAAAAAAAAATTTTGGCATAAATTAAAACCCTTTATCGCAATATTAAGGGGTGCCTCTGGAGGTCGACATTTTTGCATTAAATTTACATGGGTTTTTTCTACGTTTTAGTAAATTATATGTTATGGCATCTGCTTAATGATTTAAAAATTGAAAAACCGTACAAATCTTTTGTACTTATATGTAACTATGTGGAAAAAAATTGTCAACCTTCAAAAAAAAATTTTAATCTGGCAATCATGGCTTAACTTAAGCAAGTACTTAAAAATTCGCTATAACAGTACTCGTAACTTTTAGTTTGCAAGTTTTAATTGCATTATTTTTAGTCCCCGCTCCACCCTTCTCTCTCTTTCTTTCTATATATTATGCCAGATAGCACGCAAGTTTGCTACAAACTTGAAATGTCTGACTTGTGGCAATCTTGCCATGCAAGCTTGCTGCAAGTTTGCCACAAGTTTTCACCGCAAACTTGCAGCAAGTTTGTTGTAAGTTTGCACTACGAGCTTGCTGAAAGTTTGCACGGCAAGATTAACGCAAGATTACCCGGCAAGTTTGCTGCAAGATTGATGCAAGGTTGCAAAATTTTTTGCCATATATATTTAAAAATCTGCTTTTTAAACCTTTTTTTAAATTTAAACCAAAAAATTCATTTTAAAAATATTTTTTTTTATAATTCAATTTTATCAAATTTTTTTATGCTATTTAATTAAACCATTCGAAAATAAATATATTTTTATGCAAAATAATATAAAATTTAAATTTTTTTCGTGGCTGATTATGAAAGGAATTTCAAACATTAAAATAATCAAAAATTAACATAAAATACGTAGAAAATATTTTTAAATTTATTTCAACTCGAAGACAGACATTTCTTTTTTTTAAGCTACTTATTGCTTTTTTTTAACAAATATTTAATAGATTATTAAAAAATTAAACTTTTATTGCTTATAAAAAACTATAATCTTTGGTAGACTTTTCTTAATGTTAAAACTTTTGTCCGGCGGAAGAGTCCAATGATGAAATTCGCTGCTCTTAATTCTGCCAAACCTTTTAACCTAATAAAAATAAAACAATTTTATTTTCTTTATTTATATAGAATTAAATAGTGAATTTTTTAAATAAAGAGAAAATACTTCATAATATTTGTACAAAAGATGACACAAAGAAAAGTCTTTTTAAAAATTTTCTTTGTTTGTTTTATAATAATGTTAAAAAAACGAACAACTGTAGGTCAAAAATGACACGATAAGAAATGTTTTAAAAAAAATAAAATCATTTACAAAATGATTTAACAGAATCGAATTTCCTAAAATTTATTATAATAGAAAGACATTTTCTTAAAAGAAGAAAAATTTCCAAAAATTTATTATATTAGGAAGACATTTTCTCAAAAGAAGAATTTCCTAAAATTTATTATAAGAGGAAGACATTTTCTTAAAAGAAGAAATTTTAATACGAAAATAAAAATATATTTTAAAAATACAGGAAATCATAATGAATATTAAAAAATACGTTTTCGAATTCAATAAATTATTAAATTAATTATCATCAAACATTAAAAATCTTTTAAATTATTAAAAATACTTAGAATCATATTACGTTAAAATTTTTTATTAATTACTAAAAAAAACTATAAGAAAGTGAGAAAATTAACGAAAAAAATTAGGAATAAATTTTGAAAATGACAAATAAAAATAACCAAAATAAGAATATTAAAAATTGATTCGAGAATAAATTAAAGCCTTTTTAGAACCATAATTATTAGAAATGATTTAAATATTATTAGTTCAAAATTTTTGAAGAAAAAATTGAAATTTCTCTAAAAGATAATTTTTAGAGAATTAATTGTTTTATAATGTTTAATTCTTACGTTATTTATCTACTCTAATATTAGTGAGTGCCTTAGCGGAATCAAAATTACGTCTTCATTCGTTGGAATTCGCCATACTTTTGATTGCAAATTTCTGAGCGGGGTTGAGAATTCTGATCTTCTTGAAGCTGTTACCATATATATGTTAATATTCTTTGAATCCGGATTGTCGTAGAAGCTGTTGATTTTTATAAATGGCTTCACAATTAAGATGATATCATTGGTTTCAGATGTTACAATATTTTTTACCTTGCAGAAAGTACCATCTTTTAGAAGGATACAACTGTCCTTAGGCGTTGTACAGTTAATTGTAAAGTCTTGGTGTTTTAATACTTCAAAAAATAAATTTTTTTTAAATCCAGCAGATTTAGAAAAAAATTTCTAAAATTCATTTTCGATTTTAATAAATTCTAAAATTAATTGCCATCAAAGATTAAATATATAAAATTATTAAAAACACCTAGAAAAAAATTAAAACTTCAGAACTATTATTATTAATTAATAGAAAAATTTATTTAAAAAATGAGAAATTTTACGAAAAGGGTAAAAAATATTGTGTAAATTTTCAAAATATAAAATTTCAATTTTGTACATGAAGAATATTTATTTAAGAAATATAAAAATATATTTTTATATATTATGAAAATGTTTTTAAAAAATAAGAAAATTCATTTAGAAAGCAAAACACTTAACAATAAAGTTGAAGATGAAAAGCAAGTATAAGAATTTTAATTCCTAGCCCATTTTATTTTTAAATTAAAAAAAAAGTTGAGAAAAAGGAAATCTACTTAGATGTAGAAAATTTATACTCACGCAAATCAATAAATATTATAATAGATTATACTTTAATCTTCAGTAAAACGCAGAAGAGCATCCTCTGCAGCCTTCCTTTTCTTTTCAGTGGCAATGCTGTTAAAGAAATATAGAACTATTAATTATGCGAACGTGTTAGTTTGTTAAATAAATTTTAATATAACCTTCTTATACTTGCCTTTCACGTTTTTCATTATTTTTACATTGAGTCAACCAATTTTCAATATATTTTTTAATATATTTTGGTTCCACGCTCCTATTAACTTCGCGCATTGCACCTAAAATTTTGTAAATTTTATAAATTTAAATGAATAAATAAATAATTAAAATAGAAAATGTAACAAGAAATTGTAATATTAAATTTTTTAAATGTAAAATTTAGATATGTAATAAATCTTACAAATGACTAAGTCATTAAGTTTTAGGTCATGAAAGGCAGGTTTTTTTTGCTGATTTTCCTTTATATGTGAAGGATTGTCCAGCTTCGTAGGTTAAAAGATGGTAAAGCATATTTGCCACTGTCATGCTGTGGGTACTTGAGCTTCTCAAGTCTGCCAAAGCTGTGACCTAAAAAATAAAAATTACTTCAAACAATTTTGCATATTATATTATAATATATTATATATTATTATATATTATATTTTATTATATTATCATCTACACGGTAAAATTCATTGCTAAATTTGGAAAATTTTGAGAGTTCTTACAACCCTTTATGTGTAAAATTCGCTGATTTTTCGAGAAAAATGAAATCAAAGAATGTAATACGAGTATCTCTGGTTTTTTTTCAAAGTTATTCAGATGAGAATTTTCTTAAATTAAAGACACCTTTAAGATGAAAAGTTAATAGATTTTAAATTTCTCCTCTCTTCTATTTCGAAAATAAAGGAGATTCGACAAAGCCGCCTCTTTTATAAAAATGTGATTTTTTATTAATAAACCGTGTTTTTTTACGAAGTCAATAATTAGCTCAAATTTATTCTAATTTATTTGAAAATAAAGAAGAGAAACTAGATTTAAATAAATAATAAAACTTTTGCAACTGACCGACAAAGTGGTCCCATTTTACGCAGACGTCCACATATAATGAATATTCTGATATACAATGTGTGAAAGAAAAAATTTTTCAAGATAAAATTATGTTATCGATTATTGTTAATAATTTTTAGTATATATTCAGAAAAATGTAAGTTATAAGAAAATATTTAAAATTATGATAATTTCTTACCAATTTTCCAAAAAAACTTTTGGAGAGAAGTTTGGTCTCCATTCTATTCACTTCAACAAGATTCTTTAAGGGAAACATTTTTAAATCATTGTCAGGTTCCAAAAAGGATAACCTCTGAGGACTATTTTCTTTTTCACGTTGTTTATTTTGTTTCATGTACATTTCGACTCTGTTAACTTTTGATAACAGCATCTTTGTTGACTTTTGCACTGTAAATAACATTAACTAAAATATTTTGGAAGAAAGAAATATTAAAAAAGATAATTTAGGAAAATTATATGAGAAACCTTTAAGAAGAGAAGTGAAAAACTTGAATATAAAAATAAAAGTATCAAAGAATCAAAAAATTTTTAAGAAATTTAAAATTTGATTTCAAAAGTTAATTATTGTTGACAAGTATTGAACTATAAGAAAAGGTGTAAAAAATTTTTTATGTATTGATCCGAATTTTATTCTCAAAAATACAATATATTTTTCGCTTCTCAACAATAAGTCTCTTCAGTAAACAATATAAAGAGGCTTCTCTTTAAGAACAGACAGCTATATTGTATAGCATTTTAAATGAAAAATAAAAAATATAATTAATAACTTAACAAATATAATAAAAAGAAAGAAGCTAAAAATCATAAAAATAAATGTCAAAAAGTTAAATAAAAATTAAACGGAAAGAATTTTAAAAATTTCTACTCGACAAACTTTAATGTTTCATTATCATTCGAATTTTGCTTTTTTTCGTGATTGTTGGCCAATTGTCTATTGTCCTCTGTCGAATCATCTATATAAGCCTCTTCATCACTGTACTCCATCTCCTCAAAATTAGATCTTTCAGTTAGTTGCCTCTTTTCTTTTTCTGATTCAGAATTGGAATTATCCTCTTTATCATTGACAATACGCTCTGCCATGTCACGAAATTCTTCACCGGAAGTAGGATTTTTAGAAGGTCCTGCTAATAGTGAAATATTATCTTCGTTTGGAGATGCAACGTATTTGCTATTCTTCAATGGAGTTTTTTGAATTTTGTCACTGACGCAGCGAGAGTGGCGTGATTTTTTAGCTCTTTCTAAATTTTTAGTATCGTCACTTTCGACATCGGACAGCATCATATGAAGATCTAACTTTTTCTCTGCATTCTCAAGAGTTGCTAAAAAAAGAACGATTTAGGACTAATTTCACTAACTCAAACTGAAAAGTAAACAAGGATAAAAGCCTTTTTAACCGCTCACTATTATTTAATTAAATATTTATTTATTGCTTATTTAACATTTAATCAGATTTGTTGAAACCGGTTCTTAGTGTTTTAATATTAATAATCTGTTAAAGCTTTCAGAGAAACTATATTGGCGATCTAATTTATAAAATAATATTAAATTAATCTTAAAATTAAAAATTTAAAGCAATTAAATATTTTGATTGAAAAATAACATCTAAAATTCATAATTTTTACTTCAAAATATAACTATAAATTAATTAACAAATTTGTTTCACATACAATAAATTATCAATGTGTAATGAACCCTTCTACATTTATTAATTAACAAAAAGTTCATTGAACTTAGATAAAGTTACTTTAAATTTTTCTCTAAATCATTGCAACACAACCAACTCTGTTGCAATGTTTTAGGAATGGGCCCTTGCTCAGGAAATTCGCTGAATGCGAATGAATAATACTATTTCAACATTCAAGCAAAGGAGTAAATACTAACATTGATATTATATATATTAAAATCGCAAAAAGTACTATATATACATAGCTATGTATAGTAATCCAATTATTATTATTGTTATTAAATGGGGAAATAAAATATTTGTTATTATATAGATTCAATTGATACTATACACATATATGTGTATATATGTGTATATATCGACTCAATTATTATTATTGTTATTAAAAGGGGAATTAAAATATCTTGTTATTATATACCCTATTGAAAAAAAACACGTATAATTGTACGTATAATAATACGTATAATTATACGTATTATTATACGTATAATTATACGTATAATTATACGTACAATTATACGTATTATTATACGTATAATTATATGTCTTATTATACGTATAATTATACGTATAATAAGACATACGAATTTGAAACAAGAATTATACGTATAATTATACGTATATTAATACGTATAATTAATTATACGTATAATAATACGTATAATTATACGTATTATTATACGTATAATTATAATTCTATTAAAAATAGAATAATAGAATAGAATAGATTAATTAGTAGCAAAATTGCGCTGAAAATTTTTAGAAATTTTAAAATGCAAATTAAATTTCACGAAAAAAAATATCGTCGAATGTCAATTCAAGCAGTCACCCATCCAAGTACTAACCGCGTCCAACGTTGCTTAACTTCCGTGATCTGATGAGAACTTGTTCCTTCGCCTTGGTGTTTCCGCTGTCTTGTCTTGATTAATAACTTTGTCGTATAAGTATTGTATCGCACCTAACCTCACTTTTAGTGATACTTATACGACAAAGTTATTAATCAAGACAAGACAGCGGAAACACCAAGGCGAAGGAACAAGTTCTCATCAGATCACGGAAGTTAAGCAACGTTGGACGCGGTTAGTACTTGGATGGGTGACTGCTTGAATTGACATTCGACGATATTTTTTTTCGTGAAATTTAATTTGCATTTTAAAATTTCTAAAAATTTCCATCGCAATTTTGCTACTAATTATTCTATTCTATTATTCTATTTTTAATAGAATTATAATTATACGTATAATAATACGTATAATTATACGTATTATTATACGTATAATTAATTATACGTATTATTATACGTATAATTATACGTATAATTCTTGTTTCAAATTCGTATGTCTTATTATACGTTTAATTATACGTATAATAATACGTATAATTATACGTATAATAATACGTATAATTATTCGTACAATTATACGTATAATTATACGTACAATTATACGTATAATTATACGTATTATTATACGTATAATTATACGTGTTTTTTTTCAATAGGGTAGATTCAAAATGGTAGTATATTCTACGAGTTACTATATTAAATTCAAAAAAGGGGAAGAATGTGAATACCATTATTATTATCAAATGGAATGATTATCAAATTAAATCAAGGACTAATAATTAATTGAGCTCTACGCCTGTGAGATTCACAATATTGCGAAATAATTCGCTGAATAAGAGAATAAAGAAAAAAGGGGAAAAACTCACTTACTAAAATCAATTTCAAAATTATGGACATAGGTTAATTTCCATTCCTAATATTCCATAGAAATTTTTCCAAAATTATTATCGCAAAAATTGTAATATTAAATAAAAAAATAAAAAAGGCTGAATTATTTCTACGATTTCAAAACAGAAAAAGGAATGTACCTTTTTCCAAAGAAATTCCAAAAAGGATTTTCCAATAAATATAGAAAAGGGAAAGAACCTAATTATTAAAACGGTCTCTCTTTTCTTTTTAAAAAAAGAGATATATATTCTACAAAAATAAAAGGAGAAATAAGTTCAATGCCTTTAACAAATTGCAAGCTTGCATTTGTTCAATAAGTTGAACGACTTGTTGCGAAACTATAGACCCTTATTGCACCACAATTCCCACCTGTGACAATTAACCAGTGTCCATAAAAACCAAATGAAACACATCAAAAATCGCAGTCTTCTAGTGTTTCAAACAGATTAACGTCGCGAGTCGCGAATTATTATTTCACGAATTAAAAACTTGTGATCGCGAATATTTGCTTAAACGGGACTGTCCGTCTCGACTTACAATTTGATAAATATAACTAAAGTTTTAATTATTTTCTTTAAAACGGCGAGTAGTAAAGATAAAAATAATAATGGAGTGAATTATTCACAAGCGTAGATTTATTGTTTATTTTCTTGTGTTAAAACCGCGAAAATTAATTAATTAGTTATTAAATTATTCAATTAGTTCAGGACGTTAAAGACAATTACAAAAAAAAGAGAGAACGCATATTATTATTATATTACGGTTGATTGGGAATCATTCCATATAATAATAATGGTGCAATAATTTTAATCTACTTCACCAAGGGTGAAAAACAACAATTTTTTATATTCGTCGCCCGCTTCTATCCAAAGATTGGAGCGGTAGGATTAAGGACGTATAATAGAAATAGGTAAGAATTATAATATTTGTATCGTTCCAACCAATGTATAATATCAATTCATTTTTCACTTCATTAAAAGAATTGTTGTGTATCATTCTCATCCCTGAAATAAAGAAAACAGATGTAAAAGAATTGAACAAATTTAATTAATCGTAATTACACCATAACTCGGCTACCTAATTCTTTGTAATTCGATCTTTTAAATTCGCGAGAGATATCTAAGAAAAGGGAATAACGTTCCACATTAAAAAAAACAAGTTTAACTTGGCTATTTGAACCGGAGAGATTTGAATTTTAGGAATAATGACACAAGTAAATTTTTAAAAATCAAAAATTAAATAAATCTAATTTTCAAAACGCAACAAATGTTACTTCTACAAAAATTATACATATCGAATTACTAAATCTTGTTTACTTTAATTAGTATATTATTAATACATTAATACATAATTAATAATTATTAGTAATTGAAGAGATTTTAGTTACAATTAATTTTAAATTTTAAATTATAATTTGTTTTTAAATTAATTAATATACGTATATATATATATATATATATATATATATATATATGAATAAAAAAATGATTAAAAATACAAAAATCAAATATATGACAAATTGAGCTGCCGGATCAAAGAAGGGCACATAAATTTGTCTCACTGGAAAACGTTGGCCCCTGGCCACTTGAAATTCAACTTTTGATTTTTAATATTTGTTATACATATCCTTATAGGAAATTTGATTGCGCATCTTTTTTTCTAATGAAATTTTCTTCCATCTATTACCGTTTTCGAAATATTCAAGAAAAACCGTTTTTTTGAAAACGTCAAATTTAATTAAATTTTTAACTTCAACTCAAGATATTTCAGTCAATTTTGCATATTTTTCAATGAAACAAAAACGAAAATACGCGTTATTATATTCTACGAGTGACTAAGAAAGAAAAAAGCTGTTTTGATTATAAATAAAAAAGTTATTAATTTTTTATTGAGGCATTACAAAATTCCTGAACTGTAAATTTCACCATGCGGGGAAGTCTGGCAAATTTTGATTGACAAAAAACTTCCAGTGAGAAAGTTGTTCATAAGGGTCTAAAAAAGTTTTCTGGAAAGTTACATTGCAAATAAATAATT